CATATGCAGCCGTTTGAGGCTATGACCGTATGACAAGCCGTGATGGCGACATACCCATCTGTAAACTTTCGTGAGTGAATGTAGTGCCGAATGTATTATGCTGTTGTGTCTAGTTCCTTTTCTGAAGCGGGGCTTGTAGATTGTTGGAATCGTGTTGGTGTGGTATTTTAAACGAGAATGCGCTGTGTGGTTTGTTTTTCGAGGCGTGGGGGTTTGGGAATGAGATTTCGAAGGAGGTGTGTACCTGTTCGTGATGTAGGACTTAGGATGTAGTGGCGAATGTGTTATGATGTTGTGTCTAATTCATGGTGATTAGCGGGTCTGTGAGATTATTTGATGTGTGTGTCTGAGGTGTGTTGTACTGAATGTAAGTATAGGTTGTTTGTTCTGTTGTTTATGTTTTGAGGTGTGTGTTTGGGGATGGATTTGATTACTGTGTTTGCAGATTTGAGGGTCTTGTTCGGTGTGAAGACGTCGATCATCGTTTGTGGTACGATGTTGATTTGATGCCGGATGTCTTTCCTTCTTAAAAAATATATTCAAGGTGTTCTCAGGGCATTCTTATTGTCATCTTTTGTTTGTACGAAGCTCTGAGGCCACACATCCACCTGTGTCTTTGTGGTATGTCGATTGTGGGATTCGTTTTTCCGACGCGGTTTCCGTTTACTGCGCATTTATTCTGTTTTTGCTGTTTCACTTTTAACCTGAGGCAGTCTGACTTGTTCGCGTGGGCGTTTAACCTGACGGCTCACCTCTCGCCGTCGTAGCTTAGGTGGGCGGGATGCAGACTTAGAGGCGTTTAATCTAAATGTCTCAGATGTTAGCTTGACACTTTTGGCCGCTCGACCAAGCACATCTACCAAATGTCTGCATGTCCGGTTCCTGTCGTACTAAACAAGATTACCATTGCACCTTCCAAATTCTTCTTCTCTGTTTACACAGTTCAAGCATCAGTAGGGCCAAACTAGCATGTCTCACGACGGTCTTAAACCAACTCACGTTCCCCATTAGTGG